AATCAATTAATATTATTATATGAATTGACAATATCACGATTTTCGAAACTTTTTTGGGTGGCGATTTTACCCCGGTCAGTTTCGAACATCACAAGACAAATTTGTAGAATACTAAAAATTCATGTACCTTAAAACAAAAGAAAAAATTAGACTAACAAAATGATACCAATAAGCAATTTTTGTTTATTCGAATAAACTCAATCAACGTGATATTTATTATAGCCAGAAAGCATTATGATTACAGGTTTTCTAAGCATTTGGAATATTCCATTGTCTTTTAAAATGATTATGATCCTCCTCCAATTTATGTAATGGCTCAAAGTTTTTATTATTAATACTATCGAGCCATTTGTTATTATTTTATACTTTTTTACAATAATTTTTCTAGATTCAGAATTATAAAAACTTTTTGCTCGAATAAATAATAAGAGTTATAGTCTTCCGGAAGAGCATTAGAAATAAAGTCTACAATGTTTTCTGATGCAATTACATTTTCTTGATTAGTTTTATAATTTTATTTCGATTTATTTTTTTTTCGTTTATTGTTAGTAGAAATTTGGTTATGGCAATCGAAGTATATTTAGAATATTGTGTTTATTGGATTTTATGTCTTTAAAAGAATCACTTAGTTTGTCGAGATTGCAACGATCATTTTTCATGTTGAAGAATCGAAAAAAATAAATCATTAAATCAATGAATATTTTATAAATATTACTATCATAATCCTAATCAACAAGATCTCATGATTTTTGAAACTTTTTTGGGTGGCAATTTCAAATTCATAGATGGTTCCGATATAGTCTCACAATTGATAAATATTTTTTTTATACATTTTACAACACTGTTTTTAAAATCTCGGGTGACTTAATTTTTATGAAACGAGAGTAGATTTAATGGCTGAATTAATTGTTTTTGCTTTGCCTATAACATATTTTTTGAATCTCCATGAATCCCGCAACTTTTTTTTGCAATCTGATTCTACGAATTTGAACAGTTGCTCCTGTTGTTGAATTTTGGTTGCACCACTAATCTATTATATAAAGATACTTTAATCCGGAGCAACGCGACGGGCCTTAAGCTAGTTAAATTATAAGATGAACAGTGTTAAAATTTATTGTGCGGACACCACACAATTTGGAAGCTTTTCTGTACAACAAATAAGAACTATTTACAAATGTGCGCACTACTTACAAAATATTGATTTTTCTGTGCAGCATCCGCACATCTGTTCAAAAGAAATGTGCGCAAAATTTTGTTTTTGTGTGCAGCGAACAGCCGCACAGCGAAAAATAATCATTGATGAATTAAGACGTTTTTCGTAAGCAAAGTTTTGAGGTAGAAGAGTCATTCTGTTCCAATTTAAAATGCGCGTATTTATGACATAATGATTGTCATATAAAAAACCCTAACTTGACACATAGATTACTTTAATCCATATTTATTATAAAACATGATAATAGCCTTCAACAAATATTTCTAACTAAAAGGTTCCAGTGAACCATTCTAATAAAATGCTCTCTTTAACATGATAATATCCTTCAACAAATATAACTAACTAAAAAGTTCCAGTGAACCATTCTAATAAATGCTCTCTTTATATAGATGCGGGCTTTAGAAAGAATTGCAATATGTAAAATCAAGAACCTATTACACGTCCCTTCTCTCTTCCGCGACCCTTTCCCTTGGTCCTACTCCACGTCCCCTCCCTTTCCTTTGGTCTCATTCGCTTGTTCATTCTTCATCTTGTCGTCTGACACTTTAGGCAAAAATTTATTGAACGTTACAAGTCCAGGCCGATTTGGGGTAAATCCAGTTGTATACTTTGATGATGGATTTATGATGTGACGTTGTCCTTTTTTTTCAAGCTTCTGAAAATTTTTAATTTTTTTAATGGCATTATGCCGCAAACAAAGAAGCGTTCGGATGAGTCTCGGGGCATGTTCTAAGTCAGAGGGCGAGGTTGGTATAATAAGATTTGGAACTGTGAAAGGTGAAAATAAGTATAACCCGGGTCAAACAAAAATCATTTGTCCGAGTTCAAGATTATTTTCTGTAAATAGAATATTGATAATTTACATTAAAATAATGAATATTTTATGTTTAACAAAAAAAAATTTTTTTTATTAACCCAAGATAGCGGTTATGTTTAGAAAATTTTAAAATAGCCTACCGAATCCTTGAGCTAAAAAAACACCTAAAGATTCACACGTTTCCCATGTTGGGAACTTCGTTCCCGTTATAAATTTATTTAGCGCAAAAACGCCCTCCTTCATCAATTTTTTCCTATCATCTATATATTTCTCTGGATCCGGATTGTCGGGGTCTCCGGATACCTCAAGTATAAATATAGGAATTTGCCTGGGTCTTTCGAACAACTCGGCGACACCATCTGCTCTATGATCAATGTTTTGTAGGTCAAATTTTGTAGATATTTGACGTTCGCAGGAAAAAAACCTCACGGAATTAATATAGCTGAACGTCATGAAAAACATATATGAGAGAACATGAGCAGTCCAAGTTCTTTCAGTCGTATTTACGGAAATTTTATCCATATTAGAAATAGCACTTAAATGCCTTGAAATACTGTTAATAATATGGATTTCAGGGTATGTGGATTCATCATACTCTTTTATTGGAATCGGAAGTGCATAAGATAAATATTTAAATTTCGTGGCTAATCCATTCAAGCTTTGAACTTCTTTTTCTATTTTTAAAACAATTTCATCGTCAATCTTGCTATTGGAATCTTCATCCCCTTCATCGTCTGAATAATATACAATTTGATCGAATAGTTTCAGATATTGAATCGCCTTTTTACTTGAAGACTTTTTCTCATCATCCAATGTCATTCTGTCGAATAATCGTTTTAGCTCATCTTCATTCAAGAGATCATGCGTTTGCTTTAATATTTCTCGATTTCCTAAATCGATTACATAATAACCAGCATCTGGATCACGGTTTTGCCAAATCGTTTTAAGTTTAACATAGTATTCTGGGAACTGGACATCTCTAAATATATTAGATGTTTCTGTGACAGAATTCAACGTCTCTTCTTGAGCAACGTAGTTAGCCTCTTGCATACGTAACCGTTTTGTCGGTGGTGATGAACTATCTGCATCCTTATTCTCTAGTAGATTTAAAAATTCCTCTCGTATGATTTGATCTTGTTGAGAAGTTATTTTTAAAACCGCAGTAGCGTGTTCTTCCTGCAGAGACGAAGAAACAAGATATATACATTATTGTCCATGCAATATATTTTAAATTAACTAATGTAAAGAAATGGTTTTAAAAATTTTCAGATCATACCATTACAGTTGTGCGTTCTGATATCGCTGCAAATTTTCGCTTTTGTGATGATGTTACACTTTCCCAAAACTCCCTTACTATTGAAGATTTCTTTTCTTTCTATCAATAAATATATTAGTTAGTAAAGCCAAATATTAAATAATACAAGCTTCAATTCGTGCAGCTCAATTGGAAGGATGGAACCACCCGAGCCGCAACTCAAACATCTCCCAACCGCAATCAGGAGTGCTGGGTGATTGAACGCAGGCCGCAACCCCATCTAAAAAGCATGTTGCTCCTTAGACCCATCCACTTCCAACTGAATAGAAAACCATTCGTACAGGACGGAACCACCCGAGCCGCAACTCAAACATCTCCCAACCGCAATCAGGAGTGCTGGGTGATTGAACGCAGGCCGCAACCCCATCCAAAGCGTATATTACTCTTCAGACCCGTCCACTGCAGATAGAATGAGCTTTTCAACTACACTTTATGTGGTGAGAAAAAGTACTCACTTGGAATGATTGAAGTGCCTTAACGGACCGGTCTACTAAATCTGCAGGTACATCTTCCCAGCTAATTATTATTGTTAAGCTATGGGTATACCGATCATGTTCCAGCACTTTGTCTAGTATAAAATCGGAGCATTGTTGACGGTAAAGTAAAAAACTTATAAGAGACCATTCGTGTCGAGTTTTAAAGTAATGAGAATCGCGTGGTTTGATTTCTAGTAAGAAAATAGATCTATGTTTACTGACAAGGTAAAAGCAGAACGCGATAAGAGTGTAAGCTTACTATCTATTAATTCGGTAAATGTATCTTTTTCATTTTCTTCTGAAGACATGTTTTCACAGTGTTTACAAAGTATGAAAAAAAAAAACAAGGATTATATAGTATTGTAGAAATCCAAATTTGGGGGGGATCGTCTAAATCACGTGACCAACAGCCAATCAAGTAATAAATTTTGATTTACCCGGATCAGCCGACGAGACAAAAACGACTACGCCAGGGCGTAGGATCGATTTTACTGTCACGTGATAGTCGGAAAACAAATGTTGTTAAGATAAAAACTTGG